TACCGTATACGTTTTTTATATTTATTTTCGTACCGCATTCTCGTCTTCTTTTACTTACTTCCTCATTACATTTCACGTACTCAGCTTAACCGTTCAGAAACATCGTTCGAGTTCATTAATTACAACTCTTTGGAAATTATTAAATGAGAATTGGTGAATTACTATACCAATTGCAATCTCGTTTAGTTTGCCCTTTACCTGAGTTACTAGAATTTTGTCTCACTGGCTATTTATTCCAACTACTGAAAGTGGGTTTTATTCGCCCTTTACCTAAATCCCTAAAATTTGGTTTACTAGCTTTCCAGTCGAACTACTGCGATAGCTTTTCTCGTGGTCTAGTTCTATCAATGTAAAAGTTTTATATAGAAAAACGTAGCGTGACGTTACAGAATATATATAAAATTAAATAAATAAATGAATAAAATTCAAGAAGAATGTTTTGTTCAAAAATAAATAATTTTTATTAATGAATATTTTAAATATTGGTCAGTATCAATTAATCAAAAAATTATTTCAAGATTGAGTAGAAAATTAATTATTAATAGCTGTATTACAGTATATTAACCAATTATTTTCATTTTATTGAATCGAAAATACTACTAATATAATAATATTATATTTTCTTTTTTTTCTTCCATTATTTCGTTGATTTAATTTTTTTTCCAAATATTTCTTTAACCAATTTTCTCAGATCTCAGATTTCTTAAGGCAAAACATTATGGAGTAAACTCGGTTACCTTCGCGTTAATCAAATTATTAGCCTCCGAACGACCTTACGTTTCCTTTTCCTAACACTTTCAAGCAGCTACGGATTTCGCTCGTTAACTTTCGCAACTTTCGGATAACATCCAAATTATAAGGGGCCATTAAAGCCTCGGCCAGCCTGATCCTCTTATATGGAAGTAGCCGCAAATGACCTTGTTTTCTCTTTCTCTCTCACTCTTTCTCTCTCACTCTTTCTCTCTCACTCTCTTATTCTCTTACTCTTTTTCCCTTAAAAAGTTATTAAGATCAAAAAACGAGTTAAACACACACTCAACCAAAGGTAAAAATGTTTTCGAAACGAGATAAAACTGTTAAGTATCTCTACCTACTAATTTGTAATGCTTATTTTCATTAATTAATTACTACAAACGATACTGCAGACGTAACTCTCAATGTTCTACTTTCGCATTTCTTTTACTATTTTTTTTTTCTTCCTCGAATAATTATTCGGATAATGAACCAATTCTTTCTTCCTTTTTCTATTTTTTCTTTTTTATACAGTAAGCAAAGTTGTCTCTTTTATCAAAGATTTTTGACTTCTTTCACATTGGAATGATTCACTGCTACGAACGAACGAGGGAAAGAACGAATATACTCGATCAATATTCAACGTGTATAACGTTATATATATATAACACATACATAACACACATACATGCATACATCTATACATGCATTTTGACATCTTGAACAGATGTAACGAAATCCGATATTTCGTACCTCGGTGAAATGTCCTTCACATTTCACATAGGAATTTTCTTTTAAATTTCGTATTTTCACGATCACTGGTTATATATTCCTTGGAGAATAAATTTCTCTCATCAATTGACAAGATCGATTTAGAAACTTACTGACGAAATATCTCCCAACTAACTTTCCTTTTTATTCTCTTTTGAGAATTTTTCATATTTTTAAATATCATTCCGATTAAATATTATTCTTCATCGATTTTCATTAATTACTTTTAACAATGGAGAATATTGTGCCTGAGTATAGACATTAACTTAATACTTTCTCGATAATTTTCATTAAAATTGACATATTTTAACCGTGAGAAACACTTTCTGCACATTCAATGAACACAAATATTCTCTTAGTAGCACAAAATATTGAAAAAATATTGAATACATGTGTATTTAATATTAAAAAGACATTGAATCTCTTTTTAATATTAAATACAAATGTATTCAATATTTTTCAATATTTTGTACTACTAGGGTCGTTACATTGTATAAAATAGTGTTGTATATATATAAAGAGGGTTTAACAAAATTTACATACGACGTGATAATTAATTTACTTTTTCACTATTATAGAACGTTGAAAAATTAATATACATCATATACATCTCGTAATTGATTAAAGTAAAGAAATATACGAAATAAACAAAATAAAACTAGTGATTATAGAGCGAGAGGTAGAGAGAGAGAGAGAGAGAGAGAGATAGAGAGAAAATACATTTTTCTCGTTAACTGCATCCGACCACAACAGATGCTCGTTCTCGCATTTCGTGCGTATGTTTAAGGATAAAATGGTATTATGGCTATAACAGGATGACAAGAAAGAGTGAGAGATATTAGTGGAAGAGAAAGGGTAAAAGAAAGAGAGGTCATCGCGTTTCCGTTAAATGCATTAGTATGTAGTGTATCTGTGTTGTACGTTTATCCGTGTGTGTACGTGTATACGTGCAAAGCTGGCAAATGAATGAACAAAAAAAAAATAGGAAGGAAGTAGCACACAGCCTTCAGCAGCTATTTTTTTTCTCTCCTCCTTTCTTTCTCTTTTTTTTGTGTGTCTCTTCCTTGCTTTCTTTGAAACTCTCGTTTCATGGCATCACCACCCACACCTCATTTTCATGCTCCTGTCAAATTAGGGCTACTTCCATTTCCATGAAACGTGTGATGCCATCGTCGTTCTTGACTACTCGCTAATTCTCTTTTTTTTTTCTTCATCATTTTTGGGTCATATCTGTTAGTATGAATGTAGGGAAGGATTAGTCAAACTAAAACTAATAACATTCGTTTGATAATTCATCGACACGCTTGTTTTATGTTATATTTTTTCTAACATTTGGCAGATCAATTCAAATAATTCGTTAATTTGATCAACAAGTATTTTTATACTTTTTTGTTTTTTTAAATTATACACAATATCACTAAATGATTCTAGGAAAGTTCGTTTGTTTAATCAACACGTTGCATATCAATATTTCAAATTTGTTTTGTTCGTAATAATTAAAAAATTGAGAACAAATCAAAGATAGGTTGAATTACATACTTTCGAATATAGATTTTCCATTTGCGTGTGTAAATGAGATAATGGTCAAGCAGAAAAAGATAACTTTTTTTATATATTTATATATAAACTACATATGTAAAGACGTTTGCTACATTTCGACAAGTCCAACGCGTTTGGTGGTTTCGGACGAGTTAATCTGAAACGGCGTTGAAGTGATTTATCGTCGTACAACGCAACGTTAGCTAGCCGTGCGAAGAATAAATCTATCCTCCACTTTTCTCTTCTCTCTCTCCTATTTTTTTATTCTTTTTTTTTTTTAATTTTTTTTTTATATTTTTTTAACTTCACAGTCAGGGAAAAGTTTGAAAACGTTTTTGAATTAAAGTCGTTGGGGGAACGTTCTCTCTCTCTCTCTCTCTCTCTCTCTATTTTTCTTTTTTCTTTTTCTCACGAGATTAACAACTTCTTACGCGAGAAATAAATAAAGTCACAGTAACTTCGATTTACCTATAATCTGTTCTTTTATCTATTTTTCTTTGTTTATTTTACCTTCATTTTTTATTTTTTTTTCGATAAAAATAAAATGGCTTTTGAAAGAATAATATTTGCTTGATATCGAAGCAAGGATATATAAAATAAATTAATTGCTCAATTAATTGTTGAAATTGTTATTAAGCGTATTCAGTTGGGTAATAATTTATAAAATTGTGAATACTTTATATTTAAATAAAATTACATAAATAATTGAATGAGTGATTGGAAGAAGGGCTTATGTTAGTTACTGCAAAAATCCATTTAATTAGTATAATAATAATAGTATTGTAGTAAACAATAATTAGTGGTGATATTTTTAATATAAACAATATAAGTCTTGCTTATTTAAATAAAAAGTAATACAAATGTCAATGTTATTAGCTTACTCGATATATTTAAGTTTAGAATTTAGAATTTAGTATTGGTACGAGAGTTAGCGTTATTGTGATTAATTAACATTCAATTTTTTGTTTGTTTAATTAACGTATTGCTATTTGGCCATTTGTTAGTCGTATCTACGAAGAGAATATCGTTTTTGGTACTATGACATTTTCCGAGTTAGTTCAGCAAAGTGCTTGGAGAACTCACTACTCAAAGGATTAACGAACTTGATATATAATACATCTGCAATATATTCAAAAGAGAAGTCGTAGTAACTTTTCTTTTCAAATAAGCTAATGATACTGTAGATTAACATTCATGTAAAATTTGGATTTAGATTAGATATTACACAAGATAAAAAGATTTTGTAGAAAATATGTAAATAAATGTTTAGAAGAGAGCACAGTATATTTATTAAAATTTTGTCAGGAAAATATAAAAACGATTCATTACACGCTGCAGTGATTAATAAAAAGCTGGTATAACGTACAACAGTTCTTTCCGCTTTATATAAATAAATATAAAATATGAAATATAATTAAAAACGTATAGAAACATCAATTATTATTAAATGCATACAAATTTTTATTTTCAATTTTTTCTTTGATATTTTATTAAATGTAATATACGCTCGTTTTTCGGAAATCCATTCAAAATGTCCTAGTTCTTTTTTCTATAAAATTTTCTCGACATATTCTATAAGTAAAAATAAGAATATAAGAAGTTATATAAACGTGAACTTTGAAATGGTTTACTCAAAAGTTCTAACAAAAAATACTTAATAGCAACTAACTTCCTTCTTGTTCTATACTACATAGGAATAGAATTTTTGCGTGAAGCTTTTTAATCAGCTGCTAGTAAGTAATACGATCTATGAGTTATTTAAAAAAAAAAAAAATAACTAATAGTGTGAACAATGTATGCAAAAAAAATCTAATACAGAGTATGCTATTATATATAAGACGTATTATATGAGAAAGATCACGTAGATAAAACATTTCGCATTTTTCAAGATTGAACCGAAATTTTCGTTTTAATCGATGATAAAAAGTTTTTCATCTTCTGAAAGATAACGTACTTACCATTGAGAACATGAACAGCTATAGTCGTCTTGGATATTCCAGGTACCACGCAACTGTAGTTACCAGCATGCCTCGGGCTTGCTCTTTCCACGATCAGAGTAGTTACTATCACATAAACCTCCTTACCCTCAGTCATCTCTGTAGTCCTGTTCTCGCTGGAAAACGAGATCGAATTTCTTTCACCTCAGTAATGTTACCTTCGATATATGTATAACCTTTTTGAAAGCACACCTTCTCTTTCTTTCTTTCTTTAACATTACAATACTTCTCTCCACCTTCCCCCCCTCACTACCTACTCACTCTTATTCTCTTCCCTTTTTGCATCAAATTACACTGTTTTATTCTTTGTTACATGAAAATGCAATTACTTCATTAACACGTTGTTCGGACAAGACGTTTATCTGAATACCGCATATGATAAATTAAAATATTAAAACATGTTACAATTTGAATAAATAATATTACAATTTAACAAGTTTAAAAATTAAAAACATTAGAAATAAAAATATAAATATAATATAGTAAAACGAAATTGGACAAACGAATGAACAATTAAATTTTTATTTTTAATGACTCACAAGTACTGGTCACTGGTATTCAACTAATGAATTTTGAATGACTTTGGAGTATGTTATTAATCTCTTATGTGTTAATTATTATTATCTATCTCACTCTCTCATTCTATTTGATTCATTTTCTAATTTATCTATTCTCTTTTACATTTATTTACTTCTTTTTCTTTAATTATCTTTTCGTATACTTTGGCAAATCAAACTAAAGAAGAAATTAGCCAGAAAGGATAAGAGAAAGGGGGTTGTCATTATTCGAGAGGAAGATGTTAAACTACTGCTGAGAAACGGCAGCTTAGGTATGCAAGCTGCGTTATACACCAGGTTGTCTGATAATTTCATTAAGAAGCTTACTTAGATGTGTCTTGTGGAATATGTTAACGAACGTTAATGTTGAAATATACTTTTCCTCTATTTCTTATCCCCCTTCTCTTTTGGTTTTCAAATATACTCACACATATATGATATTTTCCAAAAACAAACAAACAAATTTTATGTAAAATTTCTTAAAAAGTATTCTTATGCAACGTTTCTTTAATTTTGTTTCTTTTTCATGTAGACATGTTTTTCAAAAAAATTCTATTCGAGATATGAGACGTATTGAGTTGGTTAATAAGTTTATGCAGTTTCTGACATTTATTTATTTAAAAATAATTACTTGTACTTCTTAATATTTTGTTATTTTCTTATTTATAGAAAAATAAACTTACCTAACGTTTTCGATGAGTGTTTCATCTCCTCTCTTCCAAATGACCGTTTCATTTTGAGATTCTAGTATATCCCTAGCCTCGCATCTCAAACGAAGTGCACTTCCAGCTTTTAAGTGCCTTTCCTTCGCAACTGTTCTCCCAGAATCGTCGGTTATTGTTAAGATAGGTGCTAAAATGAAAAAGAAAAAAAATAACAAATCGATCAATCAATGGGTTTACTTTCAACTTAGTTAGAGTGAAACGAATTGGTTTTCAACTAAATAAATAAAACGATTTTTAATTATTCCATTTGTTTGTAATTTTATAAGTTTATAACATCAATTTTTTACTTTAATTAACGTGAAATTTAATTCGGTTTTCAGTAATACATTTAATGGATCAAACTCTACTCATGTAGATGTATGTTTTTGAGTTTGGTATATGTTTTAAAAAATTGTTTACTTAATTTAAAATAATTTATATATCATATGTTTGCAAATTTTTGTTTGATATCGTGCCGAATGAAATGAAAATATTTATTTATTTTATCGAATATTTTGTGAGTACGTCTTGATTGCTTAAAAAAAAAAAAAAAAGAAGATCTTGAAAATAATTTGAACTATCTCGAGAAATGTAAACAACATTACCGGGTAAAATTTATGATAAAGAGCGGTCCGTTTTAGGAGTGGTATCTCTGAAAAATTCAAATTTCCCGCCTTGAAAATGGTCTCGTATTTCCCAATGAACCGAGAAAAAAAAACATAAAATAGAAAGAGGAGAGCGACCTGAAGGTTTTTCGTTTCTTTTTCTTAAAATAATAAATTAAAAAAAAAAAAAAAAGAAACACGCTGCTTGATATTTTTTGATTTTAATATTTTCCTATATGGTTCGATCTTATCGTTCAACAACCATTTTATCTCTTCTTTCTTTTTTTGTAAGATATTTTTGACGACCAGTTCGAAAACGTTTATCGAAACGAGGATTATTTTTCTAAGAAAATCGTCCTCATGATTCAACGACAAATGCTTCGACACGATTTTTAAGTCGATATGCAAATTTCAATCATCTCCATTCAACCCCCTCAACTCTCCTTTAAAAACCATAATTTTTCCATTCTTTCCTCTTTATCTACCTTCCTTTCTATTTTTCTTCCTCACGTGTCGTCTTTTTTTTTCAAATCCATTAAATAAAATAATTTAAAAAAATTTACTCAATATATTATTTTATTTGCATATGTGTATGTGTGTGTGTGTTATTTAAATCTACCAAAAACAAGATAATGTTTTTAACAATTACACCTTCTATTTATGTTGCGAGTATTGAAAAAACAAGACATTTGTTTTAGTAAATAAATGAAGAACAAATACACAAACGAATTAATTTATTTATTATTCGTTAATCGATGAGATTAATTGTTTAACTAACTACGGTTGGTTCACATTGAAAATACAAAGTGAAAATGTTCAAAGGGAATAAGACAAAATGGGAATATTATTCGTCTTTCGATGAAAAGCACCGGAGTTAAAAAAGTACAAACGCAAATAGTACTCCAAGCGTAAATATCAATTACTTTGAAAGGGTGTTGATGGAAATACGAGTAATCATTTCGTGATAGAGATCCTCGGAGAACATTTTTTCATCAATATTCGTCGTATTACTGGATCGTGACATCGAATAGAATGGTATCATTATGCGTGTATACTAATTGTAATAATTCAAATACCAAATAATACTAATCATAATGCCTATAATGTATTATAATGTATTATAATGTATTATCAGCAACGAAATTTTATTTTTATTTGTGGTAAATAAAAAAAATATATCAGATAAAAAATATTCACGTGCATAATAATGTAATACAATACTTTGAAGGGATCGTTAGTGTTTTCGATCACGAAAATTTAAAGATAATCTTTCTTTTTATATTTATTTTGAATTTAAATTTTGTCTTATTAAAATATAGGAAATATTTAATAAGAACTATATTTTATATTTCCTTTTTTTAAATTTCTCGGTCAGATAAATCTAGTTGAATATTTATAAGTTATTTAAATTAAATTATTATAAAAATTTTAAAAATGATTTTTAAATATTATTTATTTTTAATTTAATTCATGGTACACTAGTTTAAATTTTTATAAAAGAAAAATCCAATAACGATCATCTTAGAATTTATAAATATAACGATATCGATAAAACATTCAACTGAATATTAATAATTAATTAAAATACGGTAAAAATATATGTTGCGTACCGGTGTCTTGATCGGTACTATGTTATTTATCTATCGTAAGAAGGTTTTAATGGAATTTGAAGAAATGTGAATCAATGTGAATCGATTGTTGTTGCCTATATTAATTGTTGTTCCTTTATTGTTAATTGTATTAATGTTGTAAGTTGATTGACCAATAGTAGAAGACCCCCCCCCATTGACCACTGATGGACATTGGATTGTAGAGGAACTGAGATGCACAGAAAACTTTGTCTTTACGAAGGAATATCGTTTCTCCTTATGGTATCGCATGTGTTTATATAGGAATCCGAGACCACTCAAAGGGCCCGGCGCCGATGCGTCCCGCTGCTCGGTGTTCTGTTTATGAGTTTTGATCGCTCGAGAATATGCTAGAAAATATGATAAACGATTCATGCCTCAACGTTGAGTATTACGCAACAATATATACGTGAGATATTTTGTATAATTCTACATGGAAGATAAAGACAGACACAATTCGAATCACTTATTCTTATCGTTAATACAAATTTTATTAATAAAAGCATTATAACGATACAAATCTTCTCTCTTTAGTCTTTACTCTTTATGTCTCACAGGTCGACCTACTCAAGACTCTCTTTTACTCTTTATTGTATTCTCTGTTCTCTCTGCTGATCCACTCAAGACTCAAGATTCAAGACTCAAGACAATTTTACACTCTGTTCTCTCTGCTGATCCACTCAAGACTTTATATTTTACACTTCTCTTCTCTCTCTTTGCTTGTCTACTCAAGAATCAAGACTCAAGACTGGCGTAATCTCATTCATACCCTTAATCCCTTGTCCTACAACAACGAGTAAGACTCGTGGTAAGGAATTTGGACCAAAAACCATAAAAGAACGAGCCTGTGTCGTGGTACTTTATTCGGACTACACAAGTTAGATTTGTGGTTCAGTTGTTTCATGTGTTCTATGTTTTCGATAAATTAAATAGTTAAATGGTTCGAAATGTAACTGATCTTCTCGTTTATTGTGGTTTCGAGTAATCGAGAGTAAGCGGATAAGACAAAGGGGTTCAAATGTTTATTGCGATCAGTACATATATATATAACTACACACCTAACTTTAGATTCTTCTATACTTTTCTCGGTTGCTATCGTCTGTTCTCACATGTCCTCTACACGCACATACACAACTAATTAAATTAGAATCTTCTATACTGTTCTTTCGAGTATCGATTGTCCGATTTCCATGCACACACATACCAACATAAGCAACTAACCTTGAATTTTCCATCTCATATAAATTATGCGACTATTGATCTATTATAGATCCATAAGAAGAATAATAAGTATTCATACACCTACGAGATGATAAATTTGTCTTTTATATAACAAGAAAATTGACCATATGCATTATAAAATGACAAATCTTAAACGTTTTCATATAATAAGCTAGACGAACGAAGCTATCGCTTAAAGTGACGAGCAAAGTGATTCATCATGCCTTGAACATCCTCCCCCAAAAACATCCTCTGATTGATCACGACGTATTGCGGATAAATAATCGTCCCCTTCTTAGAAGCGAAAAAGATGCGCTCGATCGTAAATCTCTATCTCCCGTTCTCTCTTTCTCTCTTCTTTGAAAAAGAAAAATATCAAAATGTAGAAGTGTTCTATGGTATTTTGCACGAAAAAGAAAAAAAGAACAAATACTTTATATTTTGTTGTGCGATAAAATTATCTCCAATTTGTAAAGTGATAAAAATTGATCTACGTTCGATGATTGGTTACAATAAAAAGAAAAAAAAAATTATTGAAATAAACAAATTATAAGGAGATAATTAAAAAAAAAAAATATATGCGAATATTAAACATAAAAATATTGATGTAAATTAGAAATATTATTATTATTATTAAAGAATTAGTATTCCCACAGAGAGAGTGTATTAAAAGTTGTAAACTTTATGGAAACGAACATATTGATAAATTTATTCAAGCATCTAATTTATAAATCATTTATTTAAATAGATTTTATCCAATTAACATATGTTGTATTATGGAATATTTTGAAAGTTCTAACTTAGAACAAAAGCACCGGGGGCGTTGAAAGCTGCAAAAGCTTTGAATACGCGCATACGTGTATACACACTAACTCATGTTCATAGATATGTGTGTAGCATCATATATATGGTCTGTAGTTACGCGTCTTTGGTTAACCATAAGTACATTCGAATTGACGATGAACCATAGTCCTCTACATTCAACAAAGGAATTTCCTAGCTAAACGAGGAAACTAACAACGCGTGTAAACACATACCTAGTACTAACCTTACTAATACAACTGCATACTGATATATAAATCTTTACTATTAGCTTCTTCTGAGTATCACATGTACTTTTTGTTTAAAGAAAGAAAAGAATGGGGAAAGAGGAAGTTGATTCTTGGTTTCCACAATATCCTATTAAATTTAAATAATTATTCCTTTTATTTTTTTTTTTTTTAATTATATTTTATTATTATCTTCCAATTCTATAGAAATTATTTTTAATATCACATTGAAATAGATAGATTCTGATAATAATATATAATATATAATATATAATATGTTATATACATATATAAAAAATAATAATATAAAAATATCAAAGTAATTTATAATATATATATATATATATATATATATATATATGTGGGGTGTGTTGAAAATCGAAGAGGTTGTGTGTGTAAATCTGTGTGA